AATTATAAAAAGAACATTAAATAATATATGGGCAAAACTGACTCTTAAATGCTTTAATTTTTATGGTTAACAGTTTTTATTATTTTTTTAATGAATTCATTTTTCCATTTGTCTACATCTCAGTTAGTGTCCTACACTATACACATTTACATAAAAATAATCTTTCAAATTCAGAATATGACTTCAAATACCAAGAATAGGATTCATTTAATTTATTATGCTCTTAATTTTAAAATATTAAAAAAATGTCACAGCACTAGAAAAAAAAAAGTGTCTGTCTGACAACTCACGAACTGAACATTCGATCAGCTCCAAATAAATGCTCAGAATGGGACATTTATTCATTGCATTGCTGGTTATGAGCATATGGGGATTTTCATACTGTTCAATAAAGTTTAAGTTTCACACACAGAGAGAGAGAGAGAGAGAGAGAGAGCCATATTACATACATTGACATTTTCATATTAGTTATATATTACATATTAGTTATAATATATAAATAAAATTTCAGATGTACTAGTGTAAATGTCCAGATGTTCTAAATTATTGCTTTGGCAATACAAAATGTATTTGTGTCATGCCAATAAAGCTATTTAAATTGAGAGAGAGAGAGAGAGAGAGAACTTTTACATTTATCTCGATACTTGGCACTAAGCATGGGTTATGATTCAGTTTCCGAGTTTACCTTGGACCTTAACTCTATGGGCTGCCAGCAGTCCTGTTTTAGCAAGAACGCCCCGTTTTTGGGCAAAATGATTGCCAACAGTTTGTAATGAAATCTTATGTAAATCTGACAATATAGGTGCACTTCTTGCATGGCTTCTTTATGGCTGTACAGGAATCAACACACACACACACAGTCCCCCGTTTGACAGTCAGTTTGTCAGTGTGCGCTAATGGAGGCAGAAAATAAACATAATTAGTACTGTCCGTTTCCTTAGAACAAAATCCGTCTACAAACAAAAGCTGTGAATTTAAAATGTGGCGTACACAATACAACATTTCTGAACTAATATCGGAAAATAAACACCTTTTTGTATAAACCTCAGCGCGCATTCACGACTGAAGTTGAATTGTTTCAGTATGACTTACCTTCTGTTCTGATCTCCCGCGTTCATATAATTTCTGTCAGAAAGATAAGTCCATTTATTTTTTCACAAGTGTGTTTTGTTTCGGTGTGTCTGGTGATATTGCTCTGCCTATGACTGTTCTTTCGCGCAGGAATGAGACATTACATCACCTTCAGTGTGAGGTTAGACAAAAGCAACAAGACTGTCAAAAAAAAAGTTACTCTATATTAACTGAGCAGTTGTATCGGTCTGAAAATCAGCATTGCTGTGATTACAAGAGATGTGCTGATTTTTAACATAACTCTTCCTTGCGTGAACTTGCCAAATTGTACTTTTCCTAACAAAAAGTATAGTTGTTCCGCAGTCTCCGTGTTAAAACGCATGCTGTATTCTGTAGAATTCAGCGAGAGTTTATATAATTTCGAATGAAGTAGAATAACGTACCTTCTGTCCGCTCGCGAACACATCCATTCTGAATCAGTCAGAAGGTCTGCTAGCGCTCGCTCTCTGGAGATTAAACCAGACCAAAGAGCTCCAAGTGCGTTTCTCTGCCTGACTCTGACCCACCGATTAAAACTACTAGCAATGACGGGAATGAGACATTACAACACTCGTGTGAATGTGAGATTAACACACTTCAGTCTCACTTTTCAATGTTTCATGTGTTTCCTCCAAACGCTGCACGTAATTATATGGAGAAGCAGCCAAGAGGGCGTCGACCTGAGAACCCATTCAGCACGCCTAAAGACTTAGAAAAAAAATACAGTCATGCTTTAGTTCTGTCGTCTAGTCTAGCGCATCCAATTACAGGAATTGTCAACAAATGTGTCAGAAGGGTAATTTTTTGAAATTGAGGAAATCGCCTTTAAAGTTGTCCAAATGAAGTTCTTAGCAATGCATATTACTAATAAAAAAAAAAAAGTTTTGATATATTTATGGTATGAATTTTACAAAATATCTTCATGGAACACGATCTTTACTTAATATCCTAATGATTTTTGGCATAAAAGAAAAATTGATAATTTTGACCCATACAATGTATTGTTGGCTACACAGTAAAATCCCGAGTGTTAAATTAACACTGCTTGGAGCATATATGGTCCCACTCTAAAAGAGTGTTAAAGTAACACTGAAGCAGTGTTAACGTTAATGAGATAATTATGTGATTAATTAAGTGCTGATTGAGCATTAGTGATGAACAGCTGCTGTTAACAAGCAGAATCACTGAAGAAAAGAAAAACACAAGAACTACAACTGATTTCAGCCACAGTTTTAGATTAAATCAACTGAAATAAAAGAAGACATTAAATCTCTCAAGATCTCAGCAGAAGATGATTAATCATCTCCACAAACAGCATCACCAGCTTCATGCATTACTAACCAGTTTGACTTTTTGTTTGTCATGCGTCTAAAAATGTCTTAAGAATTAACAGAGATTTAGTTGTTAATGTTTATTGAAAATAACACAATTAGAAGTCACCGTTGTGGAGATGTGTTTGCTGTAGTTGGGCTCTTGACCCTTGATTTCTTACATTAGTTTTTCTCTGGGTGCTGTAACTGTGCATGTAACACGTTGGTTATGATAAGAAAAACCAAGAGAAAATGTGTTTAGATTATATTGGCTGTCTCTTTGATAATGGTATTGTTGTCATGTTAAAGCCAGGTTCACTGATTAGAGATGGGCGTATCGATCCGAAAGTACACGAGTATCGAAAGTACAAAAAATATCGATACTAAGGTGTGTTTTATTTACCAGTGGTTTTGTTTATTTAACAAAAATAATAATAATAATGCGTACAATATGTATTGAATTGGACGAATAACCTTTGTTAGCGAGTAATTGTGTAGGATAGAACTATTTTCCTGCTCATCTGAACGCACGCAAATGTTGCAAGACAGGAAAAGCTTTAAAAATACTTTGCACACCGTTCTAAATCATCTATACTTTTGAGACACGTAGACATCAAGGATCAGCATATGAATCTCAACAATGGTGACGATTATCAGACAGATACAGGCTGCATTGCATTCTGGGTGCACCAATCATAACTCATCCATGGCTCCCAGCAATGCATTGCGACATGAATAAATTATGCAGCTGCATTGTCTTAGTATTTTCTTTTATTATTACTATTTGGTTTTTGTTATTTTTTGTTGTGACTTTTTACTGCCTTGTTTTGTGACGTTCAAAAATCACAAACATTATCAGAATATTTTGTCACCATTGCTGAGATTCACATGCTGATTTTTCATGTCTATGAGTGCCAGAATTGAAGCCTCTACATGAACCATATTTATAAAATTCACTTATAGTTTTTCTCACATTATCTCATATAGCTGCAACATCATAGAGATCATTAAAGCACTTCAGTCTTAGATAAATTGCAATCAGAGCCTAAGTCACATGACATGATTTTATGTAAGGTCCTTGCTGTCACATGTGTTTGATACACACAATTGTGCCAGCCAAAGATAAACTTGAATTTAATTAAATTTAGTCAAGGATCAAGAGGCAACTAAAGCAACCACTATTCACAAAAACGGCGTTGAAGAAAAAAAAAACATCTAAACATTAATTCTCAATAAAGAACTTCTGTTTTAGATGCTCCAGAAATAAAGTCTAACTGGTTAGTAATGTGTGAAGCTGGTGATGCTGTTTGTGGAGATGATTAATCATCTTCTGCTGAGATCTTGAGAGATTTAATATCTTCTTTTATTTCAGTTGATTTCATCTAAGGCTGTGGCTGAAGTCAGTTGTAGTTCTTGTGTTTCTCTTTTCTTCAGTGATTCTGCTTGTTAACAGAAGCTGTTCATCACTAATGCTCAGTCAGCACTTAATTAATCACATAATTATCTCATTAACTTTAACACTGCTTCAGTGTTACTTTAACACTCTTTTAGAGTGGGACAATATATGTTCCGAGCAGTGTTAATTTAACACTAGGGAATTTACTGTGTATTGTTACAAATATACCTGTGCTACTTATGACTGCTTTTGTGCTCCAGAGTCACATATATGTATAAATTGGTGTTCTTTTAAAAATATAATTAGCATTGAAAAATTAGAATCACCATCTGATATTAGCTACTTTACCAGGTAGCACTACAGTTCGGCAACCTACGTGTATTTTGATAATTCACAATTTAATAGTAAAGAATTTCTAATTATAGGTTAAACTGATTGCCTTGATTTCTACTTGATTTTAATGCTCTGGATGTTCATGGTTCAGAAATGGCACATAAATGTCAATGAAACCATAAAGAAAATCATCCACATTTCCATAAAAAAAAAACATCCATGAAACATTACGGTCATATTTCTGTTTACATCCCAAAAGGTCACAGGTAACTTTAAACTGTTAAAATGGTTTAAATTGCTTTTCAGTATAAAACAGCTCATAAGAAAAGCCAAAAATCTGTTTCATGTAACTTTCTTTATAGAAAAGCCATCAAGACCAAAAATCCTCATTTGTGTACAGAGACATCACTTCATGAGTCTTGAATGTCTTTTTCATTTTTGTTCATCTGCACAGGAAGTAACCATCACATTTCTGCATGACCTTGAGCGCTGAATAAAAAAATGATTTGCATAATTTAGTACACACTACAAGTTTTAGGTGTGAACAGTTTTTACAGGAATCAGCTATTGCATCATCTGATACATAAACATACTTCTCATTCTTTCTACAGGCACCGAGTTTTATCCTGAAAGCATTACATGTCTCCTTTAATAAATGGAAAAACACAATGAAAAGAATACAAACTAGACAACTAACTAGTGTCTCAAAATCAACAAGGTGAGTCCTGGTCTAATTGTCAGCAATAGGGAACACAATGCAGACAGAGGCAAATAAAAACAGCACTTGACGGGTCAGAAAAGTGCGATGCAGCATGTCAGCTGGAGATCATCTACTACAGATGTAATTTTTTCTCCGGCAGCACTTTTTCAAACACCACAGTCAGTAACTGCATACTTCAGATTCCTCACAAATATTCCCATCATGCTCATTAAGCACACAGCGGTCGATTCTCCTGTCCTCCAGCGGTTACACACTCGGGCACTTCGTGAGGGGCGTGAAGGTCCTTCACATGATGATCCGCGGCTCAGGAACAGAGTCTGCGATGGATTTATGAGGCAGGACATTGGCACCGTTGATGTAGAGCTCATCGTTCACGATCACGTCTTCACCCAGGACCGTAACGTTCTCCATCCGCACCTGACCAACACAATCATCATCATACAAATCACACAGGAGAGAGCACAGAAGCAGCCTTCCACAAGAATAAATCCCATTCACATACTCCAACCTATCCAGATTTTTTATTTCATTTCATCATTCACAATGCTTTATAAGACGAGTAGAGGTTATTACCCTAGTCAAATATTTATTAAAATAATTATATATTTAAAAAACATTTATTTCATACTAAGTATAGTTCAAATCTATTAACATTTACTGACAGATAACTCTAGACTTACTGATATAAACATTATAATTAGTGCTGTCAAATGATTATTAGCGATTAATCGCATGCAAAATAAAAGTTTTTGTTTACAGAATATATGTGTACTGTGTATATTATGTAAATGAACAACATACAACGTACATATTATGTATGTATTTATTATATAAATATACACACATGCATGTATATATATATATATAGAAAACATTTTTCTTAAATATATACATGCATGTGTGTGTATTTATATATACATAATAAATATACACAGTACACACACAGATATTATGTAAACAAAACCTTTATTTTGGATGCGATTAATCATTTGACAGCACTAATTATAATTAAACTTTACTTGGCATATTACTTGTGCACAATGCACATTTCTTGATATTAAGCTAAAATGTATTTTAATGTCACTTTTGATGAGGATTGTATGATCTTTGAATAATATCGGTCTTTAAATGCAAGATATTTAAAGTGTACCTGAAGTATACTTGCAATAGTTACACTTTTGCACAATCATATATACCAAGTATATCTTTAGTTGGACTTCAGCACTACTTCTGCACAATTAAAGTGCATTACGTACAAAATTAGTTCTTCCAATTTAGCAGACTTTAAGTATACCAGTTTAGTATATACTAAAAGTACAATTGCAGTGCATTTTAATAAGTACATAAATATGAAAATGTATTTGTACTTAGCATGAAATAAATGCATTTCAAATACATTCAAGTATATTTATTTTTTTACTAGGGTACTTTTATACTTTGAATAGAAGTGTTTAATATTGTCATTCATACAATAATTAGCTTGGTTCTTGGTTTAAAATTATTCATAAAATAACTCCTCTGTAATTGCTATGAAGAAAATTAATTAAAAGGTGGCGCTCTATGAACAGTGAAACTCACCCACTGCCCCACTGAAGAGCTCCATCCCACAATGCAGGACTCCAGCCAGGAGTGGGAGCGTATGTGCGCCCCTTTCAGGACAGTACAGCGCTTTACTCTCACGCCATCCTCCAGAACCACTCCGGCCCCGATCGTCACATTGGGCCCGATGGTACAGTTTTCACCGATCACCGCCGTTGGGTCCTGGGTTGAGGTTACAGCGTGTCATATATTTAATATATATATATATATAATATACGTATAGGCACAGTATATGTTGATAGGAGAAACAAAAAGCATGTTTCCTGTTTATTGTACATTACAGAAAATGGAAAGTGGCTTTAAATATTTTTTTTGCTGCATTTTTTAGAGTAAGTATATCTTTCCAAATGTTCAGAGCTGGGTGGATTACTTACAAAATGTAATCCGTTACATGACTCCAAATTACATGACAATAATTGTAGTTAGAAATGTAATCCATCACATTACACATTTTAGGTAATATTACATATTTAGGTAATATTACAATATACATTTAAGATTAATCTAAAAGTAGTCTGATTATATGATCGGACTACTTTTAGATAACTTTTAGATTTTCACATTGATTTAAACAGGATAATCTTGCACCATATTGATATAAAATACAAAGAGTAAGAAAATGCATTCCATTCATTGTTATTAATAAAATTAAGTGCATTAAAACTTACATTGTGTCATGTGACCATTAACCACCATCAGAGAACTGTTAACATGCAAATGTGATACTTCATTATTAAAATATTTATTTTAAAATCTTAGGAGTACTTCATATAAGTACTACATGAAGTACTCTTTTAGGTGAAAGAAGTTCAGATGACAAAAAGGTTTGAGCCTGACTATACTGTATGTTACCAGACGCTGCTGTCAAGAGTTTTTTCCCGATTTGCAATGTTATTAAAATGCAATTTTAACACACAGCTGTAGATTTTCGTCTTTCCCCATTTAAGTAAATAGAAGGTCTACTTGCTGAGAATAGCTGTTACAAATATGGCTGCTGCTACAAAACATAAGGTGAGATAACTTTGTGCTACTACCTTGTGTTCACAGCCTATATAATAGATATTTAGGAGTGAAAGCGTGTCTGACCACGAGAACGTTTCCGAGGAAGCCTGGCCCGCTGCGGAGCCGCTCGGGGGCCTGCTGCCGAACAGACTGCAGGTACATGCACATGCCTGTCAGGAAGTCTTTGGGCTGGCCAATGTCCATCCAGAAACCTGAAACACACAATTAACAAAACAACTGTAACTGCTAGTTTAGTAACTGTATGATGCATATCACCACTGGATCGAAATTACGCCAAATGTGTGTGTGTGAGTGTGTGTGAGAAAGTGTGTGTGTGTGTGTGTGTGTGTGTGTGTGTGTGTGTGAGAGAGTGTGTGTGTGAGAGAGAGAGAGAGAGAGAGATTGAAAATTCTAAAAACAGACGCACTAGATATGAGCTCCTATTAATTCATATAAAATACTGCTGTTAATTGAGGCAAAAGCTCATAAAAACCTGTTTTAACACTTATGGAAATATAAGAGTACAGAAGGAAAGCAATAACTTTCAATCACTTCATCGGAAGAGCCGCAACTGCGATTTACAGATCTACAGTGGCATCGGCAGCTGTGAGAGCAATCGGAGCAACTACATCCAGCATAATATATAATATATATTATTTTAGTATCAACAACTACCAGCATCATATAAATCTCAACTGTCAATAACGGACACATTCAGCGGTTGCCATGGAGATCGTTTATCCTGCAGACATTAAAGGAGACAAAAGAAAAGCATTTAAACAGACACTGTTACATAAACACCCCCCCGAATCTCTTTATGTTGATATGACATCTCAAGAAAAGAGAACAAACTTGATCTTCTATACAGAGAGGAACCTCATATGAAAAAGTGTTATTTGTAAATATTTCCACTAAGAAGGGAATCTGTAAAGGAAGTCAGATCTGCATTTTTGAATCAGCTGACCACTCCTCGCATTTCCAAACCATCAATCTGTACAACAGTGGAACGTCTTAATTCAAGGGAATGAAGCTAGTCTCCAAGCTTTTGAAAAATCATTTCCCCTTTTAAAGCAGACAGTTGAGGAGGAAACAGCTTGCAGTGTTAAAGAGGAATCTGAAGATGAGAATGAAGTGCTGCCCTACTCTCCAGTCAACACATCTCCGGCCCCATCTGATGAACCAATGACTGAGCAGGCCACACACACTCACAGTTATCTCCAGTGTCTTCCCCAGAAAACGGCTCTTCTAGAGATGGAGGTGTCAGAATTAAAGCAGCTAATCCTGAGCTGCCCAGATGAATTCACCATCAATAATCTCAAGGCTGAAATTAAGCATTTGCACAACATCAACATGAAACTTAAGGCTGAAATGTCAAAAATGAAAGAGGACTCAATACAAAGAGAAATAAAGTTTGAGAGAAACATCCATGAGTTAAAAGAAAAGCTGAAAGAACAGACTGCAATGTTTTTACAGCTTAAAAACAAGGAAAGTGAATCTCCCAACGACAGCTGCACTGAGAGTAACCTGCGGCTCCATCATGAAGCGCCGTCACACAGCTCTGCACCTGCAGACTCCTCAGTGAAGGAGCGCACTCACACACCGCCGCCGTCACACAGCTCTATACCTGCAGACTCAGTGAAGGAGCGCACTCACACACCGCCGCCGTCACACAGCTCTGCACCTGCAGACTCAGTGAAGGAGCGCACTCACACACATGAAGCGCCATCACACAGCTCTGCACCTGCAGACTCAATGAAGGAGCACACTCACACACCGCCGCCGTCACACAGCTCCGTACCTGCAGACTTAGTGAAGGAGCACACTCACACACCGCCACCGTCACACAGCTCTGTACCTGCAGACTCAGTGAAGGAGCACACTCACACACCGCCGACATCACACTGCTCAAGACCACCACGAGACCTTCACAGACAACCCAGGACTTCAGGATGGTCTCACAGACAGCAGGAGAGTCAGCTCTACACTGAAGGCCGATCCCAGCAGACACGCAGCTATGCCCAGGTACTGTCACAGCAGACGCCCTCATCATCCGCTCAGGAACTGCTCTCCATTAGTGATGTGGGAGAAATTAAAAGACTGCTAAGCCTCCTCTGCAACAAAATGCTCAACTAAAATCTACAATGATTGATCACAACACAATGATTATTATCATTGTGATTATTTTTATTATCGATTGTTGTTATTGTTATTACTATATTATTATTGTTTTTATTTTAAGTCATTATTCACAATGATTTATTTTAATCAATTTGACTACCTTTTTTACTTGCTCTACTATTACTTATTTTATTTTTTTATATTTATTTATTTTATTTTATTTATAAAAGGTTTTATTTTTGGTTTTGCCTCCAGATAAACAGCAGTATTGCTTAATCGCTGATCATATCAAATGTTAAATATTAGCTTTTGGAATATTCAGTTTGTGCTCTAAAACATTTGGATTAAAAAGCACAAACACAGAGTTTTTAAATAGCATCACAAATGTTGACATCCTAATTCTAACAGAAACATGGTGTAGATCAGATGTGTCCACTCAGTGTCCTGCAAGTTACTCTGAAATCATAGTGCCCTCATGGAAACTCAACTCAGTACATCGTGGTAGAGATTCTGGCGGTTTAGTCATATGGATAAAAAAAATGACCTTGCCCCTTTTACATCACCAGTACAGCAAGGCAAAAAAGGCCGATCCCAGCAGACACGCAGCTATGCCCAGGTACTGTCAGGAACTACTTTACATTAGTGATGTGGTAGAAATTAAAAGACTGCTAAGCCTCCTCTGCAACAAAATGCTCAACTAAAATCTACAATGATTGATCACAACACAATGATTATTATCATTGTGATTATTTTTATTATCGATTGTTGTTATTGTTATTACTATATTATTATTGTTATTATTTTAAGTCATTATTCACAATGATTTATTTTAATCAGTTTGACTACCTTTTTTACTTGCTCTACTATTACTAATTTTATTTGTTATATTTATTTATTTTATTTTATTTATAAAAGGTTTTATTTTTGGTTTTGCCTCCAGATAAACAGCAGTATTGCTTAATCGCTGATCATATCAAATGTTAAATATTAGCTTTTGGAATATTCAGGGTTTGTGCTCTAAAACATTTGGATTAAAAAGCACAAACACAGAGTTTTTAAATAGCATCACAAATGTTGACATCCTAATTCTAACAGAAACATGGTGTAGATCAGATGTGTCCACTCAGTGTCCTGCAAGTTACTCTGAAATCATAGTGCCCTCATGGAAACTCAACTCAGTACACCGTGGTAGAGATTCTGAAGGTTTAGTCATATGGATAAGAAATGACCTTGCCCCTTTTACATCACCAGTACAGCAAGGCAAACATCACATTTGGTTAAAGTTGGATAAAAGCTTTGGAATTCTAGATAATGACCTTTTTATCTGTGGAATTTACATTCCTGAAGTATTTACATTAATGAAGTATTCCACACTTTACAGGAAGAAATTCATCAATATCAAACTCTGGGGAAAATTTTACTATGTGGAGATTTAAATGCTCGAACTGGCTCAGAATTAGACTATATTGATAATTCAGGAGATAAACATCTGTTCACACAT